AAACGTCAGGACAATAAAACTCTTGTTCCAGTGATCGCTTCTTCTTCTTCTTGGGAACTGCTTCCTGGAACTCGGATATTCTCCTCTATTGGCTTAATTTGTCCTACGTTTTGCATCAACACTCGAGTCCAGCAACAGAGGCGGCTCGCAGCTGAGAGACAGAATCAGATAAGACCGAAACTCTCACAAGAGGTTACAACTACGTGAGCCGCGAACTGCGTGGGTCGCGGTTTTCCGGCTCACTATCAATTAACAGGCACAATAACCTCCCGCTTTTATATTAATTACCCAATAAAGATTAATTATCCACAAGGGGTGGGGAGCGCACGAACCATCAAGGCCACAGTACCGTGTCGGTGAGTCAAATTCCCCAGGAATCCACACGATTGATGAAATTGCAGCAATTACCGACTCAGCTACGGGCAATCAGGCCATTTGTGACGAACGTGGGAGTCATCATTATTCTTATCTGACTTCGCCTTTGAAGATAAATTTGAGCGTGAATCCGAAGCGTCAGGAAAAATGAAGCTCTTGTTTCAACGATCGCATGTGCGCCCTAGAGTGAATGGCTCTCAGCTCGAAGAAAGGAATAGTTTTAAATACCTCGGGGCGAAATTGCCGTTAAATGAACAGAAGGAAGATGACAACGTGTCCAAAAACGGACGCAGCTTTTAAGCAATACTTGGAAAATGTTACTAGAGTCAATACGATATCGTCATCGTTACAAACATCAGCGTGCTCTGGACATCTGCCCGGCCAGTTCACCTGTAAGGATGTGATGGCTGGACTGTGCGCTTGGAAGTACGCCGATTTCTTCTGTAATGAGACGGTTTTCACTCGCTGCGATAACATCTTAAAGGCACCTACAAAGCCATGATTTGAACATGCTTTCGCTGTCCTCTACTTGGTTCCGATACCACTGCCCGCCTGAAAGCGTCGAAGAGATTAACGCAAAAGCTAACTCAAAACAGTTCGACAGAACTCGGAAACGATCATAGGATTTTTGGTATTCGTTCTCCGTCGCTGGATAAGATGCGGGGTTTAAGCCCTTCTGATCCGCTACTGTGGGCGGCAGTATCGGGGCCGGCTAGATCAAGCATGAACACAGCTGTACCAAGCATAGGGACAAGTAGGCGAAGAGAGTGAGAGGAGAGATTTCGGGGCGGAAGCAGGCGAAAGAGCATGAGAGAGGGGAGAGAGAATGAGATAAAGGGGAAGAAGAGGAAGGCGGTTTCGTCTGTAACCAACAGCGGGAAGAAATGCACATGGTATTGAAAAATTAGGAGAAAGGGAGGAAGCTGAAAACGCAGACCTCGAGTAAAACGACAAGTAAGTACCTAGATTGAGCCATCGTGTAATTTTCAGCTCAGACGGCACTTGGTTGCATACAAAGGCAAACTTATTGGCTGAGTTTAACAGGGGTGGAAAATGTGGGTCCAAAATTCAACAGCGTATGCGCGTGGAAGAAAGAACGGGAGAGAAAACGTAAACAAGGGGTGAATCGGGTCACCCGCTAAGGACCTGCATGGATTGCAAATCTACTGTGTACACCGCAGCCGAATCAACGGGCAAAGGCGATCATTTAACACCGCGGATAGGCTTCCTGTCTGTGGGCTAGATCAGTTATTAGTTATGTTTCTCCGGCGACAGCCCGAAAAAGGAATCAGGGTACTCAATGCCCCACAACGACTTCTTGCTGCAAGTCCGCGTATGTTTTGTCGAAATCCGGTCGCGAGACACCACCTAACCATATGGTGGTGT